GTGTAATCATTATGTGCTGCGAACATGTACAAAAACAAAAAAGTGGTGGTGTTAAACAACTGATTATCCATATGCCAAAAATACCAACTTCAAACCATTCCTTAGATCATTTAGAAAGCGTAATTTGAATTTGATCCTAAACTCAAATGTAAATTGTAAAGTTTTGAAACTTCTAGTGAGCACAAGAAAAAAAAATTTGGATTCAGTACTGAAAGTTCGATCTATAAAATAATAAAATATTACTTCATCAAAATTAAAAACAACTGCTCTTAAGAAAATGGAAAAGAAAGAAAGAGACTAAGATGACAAAGGACTTACATGTGGAATACATATAGAAGCAAGACTCAGCATAAGGAAAAAAGAAACTTTTTTAATGGGCAAAGGTTTTGAAGAGACACTTGACCAAAGAAGATACACAAATGGTTGAAAAAAAATAAATAATACAAAACACCACCCATTAATCAAAACCTCTCAACCTCATCAGTCAGTGGGAGAGAAAAGCAAATTAAAATCCCTTTACATGAGTACTAGAAAGGCTAAAGAATGGTAAGACCATATGCTGTTGATGACATGAAAGAACTAGAACTCTGAAAGACTGATGTTGTGAAGGTGAACAGGTGCAATCACTTTAGAATTAAATACTCTTGAAAATTGATAGTTTTAAAAATTTAAGCAGAAACTCCCTATGATACAATCATTCTACTCTTAGGCCAATACTCAAGGAAAAAAAAAAAAGCACACATCCATATAAAAACTTGACAGGAATGCTCATATCAACTTCATTGTAACAGCCCCCAAGTGAAAATAATCCAAATGTTTATTGATAGCCGAATGGATAAAATATGGTATATTCATAAAATGAATTCTACTCAGCAGTATAAGGGAAGAAACAAACTGCTAATATGAATTATAATAAAGGTTAAGTTCAAAATAGCTCCTAAGTGGAAGAATGTACACAAGAAAGAGTATTTATTATATTATTCAATTTACATAAGCTCTATGAAGTCCTAACTTAAGAGTGACTGAAAACAGATGAGAAAAAGTATGGCATATATACACAATTGTACTATTCAGTCACAAAGGAGGAGAAATTTGGGGCATTTACAGGAAATGGGATGTACCGTGAGACCATAGCATTAAGGTAAATAAAGCAGACACAATATTGTTTAATATCGCATATGAGAAGCCCAAAGTATAAATAATTTAAAGAGCAAAAAAAAATTATAAGAAACATAGGTAGGTCATTTACAGGTAGAGAAACAGAGGTAGAGAATCTAGGGATAGAGGGAGAGGGAGAGAACGTTAAATGAAGGGAAAAGGAAGAAAAAAGGACTAATATGTGATATGTTCATGTTGCAGCTCAATCGTGTGTTCCAAACACGTACGAATGAAAAAGATTTTAAAAAGAAAGCTAAATGATTGACTGGTATAGACATGGACAGGGATAGATAAAGGGACTATAAAGAGGCCTAAGATAATTTGTTAGTGATAGATTTGTTCATTACCTTGGTTGTGTTAGTGGTTTCAAAGCTATGTGCAAATGTCCATAAGACATAATTTGTATATATTTATATAATATATATTAATTACATATATTATACAGTTACACACTAGTAAGGCTTAAAGAAAAGTGAAAAAGAGTAACAAATTATGGATACTAAAAAGAAAGATGCTTAGTACACCATTTTTGAAAGATTAAGTGAGCCTATTTAAAGAAAAAAAATGAGTTTTTGTTCCCAGTGATAAAAATCCAAGTTTTGAAGTGAAAATTAAAATTTTGGAAAATATGTCTGGCACCACAAGCTTGAGAGTCTCCCATTACTGTTCTTATTGGACTAGTTATGACAATTTTAATGAATAGGATTTTTTGCTATTATAGAATGAACTGTGTCGCGACTCAAAAGATCTGCATCACCTGATGTCCTGATACTTTCCAAATGACTGAAGCACAATAGTACAAAATCATGAATAAGTAAAAGACACATTTAAATTGCCAAGGTCAAACAATGGACTTAAATAACTATGTACAATATGACTTCTGACTCCATAATATAACTACACTTGAAGAAAATTTATCAAAATCTACTGTAGCAGGCAGAATATGAAAATGGCCTGCCAAATATGTCCCACTTAATGCCTGGATCTATAAATGTGATTAAGTCACTCTGATAATTACATTCTGTCATCCTTAAAATAGGGAGGTTATGTAGGTGGACTTGACCTAATCATGTGAACTCCTTTATAAGTAGAATTTTCTTCAACAGGTAACAGAAACAGAAGCTAAAAATATTAAAAACATTTGCAGGATGTGACATACTAGTCCTGGCTTTGAGACCTCTGAGAAAAAAATGCAGGCATCGTTAAGGAATTAAGAACACCCTATGGAAAGCAAGTACAGAAAAGGGAAGCTCAGACTAATAGTCGCAAGGAAGAGTTCTGCCACCAGCTGAATTAGTATGGTAGTAGATTCTTTTCCGAGTCTCTGAGAGCTCAGATTGACATTTTTATTTTGGCTTCTTGACAAACTGAGCTGAGAACACAGTCAAATGTGCTTCAACTTCTAAACTACATAACTGTGAAGTAATAAAGAAATACTGTTTAAGCTTCTTTTTTTGCTCCGAATGCCTTCAGGGCAGGTTTGGCTGGCTTGAGTTGTGGGGATCGAACCACAGCAACTTGAGCCTGACTGTTTTGTTGAAGCAGCCACTTAAAGAACTGAGCTAAGGGGTGGCCCCGAAGCTTCTTGATTATGATAATTTGTTATGCATCAAATGAGAAGCTAATACATTACCATAAATCAAAATATACCATACCATTAAGTTTCTACCCTACTTCCAAAGGATTCTTACAATGACCCCAAATATACTAATTTAGTATTGTCTACAACAGAAAAAAGAAAATGCAGTATTCATAGATAATGGACAGACTGGAAAAATACATAAATCTATAAAACAGAATACAGTCATCATAAGGAAAAGATAAAAGTATATGAATGACTATGAGACAACAGAAGTACCCCAAGTAAGACTGAGAAAAAAGGATCTGACATACTTGTAATTAAAAGATTTATACAAAGGGCTGTGGAGATATCTCAGTGGAATGTTTGCCTGGCAAGCACAAGGTCCTGAGTTTGATCCCTGGTACTACCAAAAAAACAATCAAACAAACAAAAGATTTGTATGCAATTAAGATACCTTAATTAACCTTCTTCCCAGGAGGGGGAAAAAAGATACCCCAGTTAAGAGCAAGAAAAGAAAAAGCAATTAGCTTTGGGATATAATTAGAATGCTGAGTAGAAACTTTTTTCTTATAATTTTCTACTTTTCATTATTATACTTTTTAATGAAATATTACTTTTATTCATTCAAAAATATCAACAGAAGTTACTTGGTAGTGTCTAGATAAACACTTTGCTGGTGTTCATACAAAGCAAACTTCTTTTTATTCAACTTAGATTTGCCATCTGGAACTTGTATTGAGGCTCCCTTAACCATCTGTAACAAAATAAGTCACCTTTCCTTATCAAATTAGCCACACCTCCCAGATCTGAGGTTCTCTGTCTACCTTACTAGTAAGTGATGTCATCTGCACCTATGTGAATCTTAATATGTACTTAACAGTTTTCACACATCTGATTTTAATAATGTCATTCAATTGTAAAAATTTGGGGCTGTACTCCTTGACCTTTCCTAATACTGAAAGCTATGAAGATATAGATCATAAACATTGCAAACCATTCCAATATATAATATACCTAACACACAATGCTGACTCAAGAGAATGAAGATGATTAGATTATCGTAATACTGGCAGTATTCCAATAGGAAGCAAAGTAACAGGGTGAAATGGGACCAACAATCTTAAATCGTACATTATGATTTATATTTAGGGATATGATTTATATCCTGAAGCCTCATGAGTTCATAGGTGGAACTTTGGGAAAGTCATTGGATTATGGGAGCTATTGGCTTATGGTCTAAAGAAGTGAGTTAATGGAGGTATGGCCTGGAGGGTTTATCTCCCTAGCCATAATCTGCACACCATGCTATAAGCTGTTTCATTACTACCATGTCCTTCAGCTATGCTGTCCCACCTGGTGCCAGTGGACAATGGATTGAAACAGCTACACAATAAGCACCAAAATAAACATTTCTTTTTTTAAATTGCAGGTACTGGGTGTTGTAATAACTATATAGATGATATATAATGGGCGATCTATAATGCTAGGATTATTTATCATATTTTAAAGTCAAAATAATTTTTGATATTTTTAAAAATTTCTTCTTTTAAAGTGAATAATTACTAGTGGTCAAAGTAGAAAAAGTAAAGCAAAATCTTTCCATTGCTAAATACTATGTTTGTAAACCTTATCAAGATCAAATTATACCTCTATTTTGTACAACAGGAAGAGGGATGATGAAAAAACTCAAAGAAATATTATATAGTTCGAGGTCTCCTTTGTTCTTAAAAGATGCTAGTCAAAAGATCTGAAGACACTGAAAGTCACTAGAAAGGAACACCTGGAGAAATTCCTAGACTGATTACCTTCTTGTTTGTTCACTTATGAAAGAAGTTTATAAATGACCCAAAGCACCATTATGTTAAGTACATATATTCAAGAATTTGTGTGGAGATGAATTTTAAAATGCTATCGCAGTAGTAAATATAAGATAGAACTATCAGGTTTTATAAACTCACACTAAGTAAATGATTTTTTCTAAAAAGATTTCCCATATAAACATTCTATACAACTGAATTTCATGTGCAATTACACTTAAATAAATCTGTTCCCCAAAAATGTTGGCTGACATTTTCCAGAAAACAGCGAAGTGTTATAGCCTATAAAAATACTGAGTATATGTACAAGCTCTTTGTTATCAGGAAAATGTTAAACAAAATCCTTAGAAACTTTACATGGAGAAATCAGAGAGATTGAAAATAGAAAAGTAATAAAACATGACAATAAAATGTCATCTTGCAAACCTCTCAAATTGTATTACCTGGAACCAGTTCCATAATGATATAGACAGGCTGCCTTTGTGTGCAAACGCCTATAAGTTTGACAATATTAGGATGATCGTATTGCTTCAGAATTCTGCATGAGAGAAAAATACAAGCATTCTTATCATTCGAATAAAAATGAGTAAAGCATTAATTTCTAATAATGACTAATATATACAAATAGAATGTACTGTACTCATAATTCAATTTTTAGTACGTCAGTATAACTACAAATATGGAAAGTGGGATGAAAATATAAAATAATAATAAATATTGGAAACATAAGATAGTTACAAATGAGTTTGTGCTTAATTCAATTAAATATTCATTTGAAAGTTTTCCACTGAATGATTAATAATCATGTTACAGAAGAATAACCTAGTTCGTAAAAATATGTAAAACTCTCTTCAAAGTATTCGATTTTATTCACAACCACAGAAAAAAATTTACCTCATACAGCTAAATGCTGTAGAGAGTACTCCACTAGATTCTGTAAGAATTAAATATTTCCCTGAAAAATACAATCAATTTCAAGATGGCAGAAACATATATTTTGAGAAAGCTGGCAACAAATTTTAAAAAATAATTAACAGAGTTTCAACACAGTCTCAAGCTGAAACAGAAGACTTCGTTTGAACAAAGGCAAAATTTTATCAGAGGTTACAAAAGTATGATAGACTCATCTATAGGACTCAAAGCATAAGCTAAAGATAGATTAGATCCTCTCAGAGACCTGTCCTGCTCATTTCTATCAGCAGATTCTAGCCCTTATTATCCTACTGCTCAGCTCCTATTTGAACACTGCTGTATTTTTCTCCATAAAAGAATGAAAAACAATAACATTAAAGACAAAAATGTTTTTATGTGTATAACTGAAGCAGAAAAAGCTTTAAGAAACCCATTTTAGATTTATAATATATAATTATTTATAAATGAAAGACTAGGAAAATTTTTAAAAATATTCTGTAATAATTCTGAAGATCTAATTTCTAAGAGAAATTAAAAGTAAGGTTTCAAAATACTTCACCTTAATCAAAAATGTCATTTTTAAGGTTACAAAATGGGTTCTAAAAAAGTCATACAAAGACAACTGAACTTTGATAATAATAAGTATCTAAATACATCTTTCTGGAATCTACCAAAAGATACTCATAAGTTTGAATAAACTGTGCATTTTGGAGATAAAATGTATAATTTCACTTTGAAGGAGAAAACTAAACTGCACTTTGCAATAAAAGACTCATAAGTTAGAAAGCAAGAAATTTAAATGTTAGACATAGCCTTGTATCTTAGAATACCTATGAATAACCATAAAATGAAACTGAATTACAGTTGTGATAGCATATCTTCAAGTTTATCATTAAAATTTTTCTAATTAATAATAACATACATAAAATAGTCTATATGAAAAGAGTATACAGTTTTAACTCTGTTGCATAAACTATGAATGCAACCAGCTACTTTAATCCATTGCCATCAATATTTATTTTTAGATAATAAAGAAATGAACATCAAAATGGCCCATGCCTCAGCCTCGGAGTTTTCATTATTATCACTTCTATTCACCATGTACTTTCTCTTGACACCACAAACCTATGGATCCATGTATTCTTTTTCTTATCCACTTTATCCATCTCATCTTACCCTGTCCAAAGAACTTTTTACTTTATGTTTTTTTAATATATACTATATTTTCACCACTAACAGAATTGTTTTAATTATCTGTAATATAGACATAGCAAAGAACATTAAATTTCAGCTAATAATAAAAAATGAGAAGAAAATAATCTTAAAAGACATATTAGAAAATAAATAAAAAGGAGACACTGAAGAAATGCCAGACACTAAACTGAAGAAGAAATTTGATTCTCAGTAAAGAAAATAATATTTAGAGAATCAAAAGAATACCCAAAGGAGGTAGGATATATATATTATATATGATATATATAATCATTTATCTAAATATATTACTTTAGAGAACTCACTTGGCTTCTTGTAAAAATTTTATTTTCAATTCCTGAGGAAGACCTTCTTTACACGTTTTAACAGCAACAGCAGTTTTATCCTTTAATGTGCCCTTATACACTTCACCAAAATTTCCCTGAAATTATAATACATTCATTGTTTGTGATGTACACAGATAGCATGCAAACCTTTGCCACACACAGACACACACACGTCATGAAGTGTATTAAACTAAGTATAGCACCCTGCATTCTGTTAGATTTATCTCCTGTATCTCTCAAGGTATTTTCTAACATAATTATCAAGCTATAAACTATATTAGAAAGAGAACATATTAGTACATACAAGATATTCCTTTATCTGAATGATTCTAAGGCACTTCTAATTCAATTTGTCTAAAACATCATGCTACCCATCCAAAGGTTTTTTATGGCTAAGTTATCTTTTTTCATTTCAGTCAGTAGAAGTATGTTATCATTCTCCCTGTAAGTTTTCAGTTACTAGCTCCATGTTCATTTTTGCCTTTCCCCTCTCATCTCAGAAAAGCTTGCTTTATTAGGATCTCAGTCTTCTCATCTAACCTGTCCTGAGCTTTAGTTGATCACCTCTCTAACACACTTATTTCAACGCTGCCAGGTTAATCTTGTTAAAAAAAAATTGATTATACCACTGCCTTGCTCAAATATCCATTAATTACTAGTATTTTCAAGTCTAACTTCATATCATAGCCCCAAATATATATTCATTCTAGACTCAATTTTGACCACAAGGGGTGGCGAGATAACTCAGCACATTAAGCACCTGCATAGGCAAGGGCAGGGACCAGGGTTTCATCTCCAGCCCCACATGCCATGCCAGCTTCAACCTCAGGGCAAAATTTCTTCAATTTGTTTGTTTGTCTAAATGTTTTTCCCCTTCCTTCTCTAACTGCTCTTCAATCTCTTGTCCTCCTTCCTATTTGAAGAAGTTCTTACTCCTTAATCTCTATCTTCCATTTTGCTCATTATACTTTGCATTTCTCACACAGGAGAAAAATATTTATATTTAAAATTGTACCTCTGATTTATTTCACTTAAGATTATGGTCTTGACATGCATTCATTTATCTTAAAACATCTTAAGTTTATCCTTCTTTATGGCACAGTATCACCCCACTGTACATAACAAACACATTCTCTTTATCCATTCATCTAGTTATGGACATCTGGGGTATTTCCAAAATGTAGCTGTTAACAACTGTGCTGTTATAAACTATGAATGTATCATTATGGTATGGTATGATGACTTTACCTATTTCAGGAAGATACTAACAAGGGGAACAGCTGGGTCAAATGGAACCTGAAATTTTAATTTTCAAAACTCCCACCAACAATGGAGAAGGGTTCTTTCTCCCCCCAGGCCCAGCAGCATTTGTTACTGATTGATTTCTTCATGATAGCCATTCTTTTGGCATGAGATGGAATCTCAACGTTTTAATTTACATTTCTCAAATGGCTACCAATGTTGAACACGTCTCATGTACTTATTGGCCATTTATACTCTTCACCTGAAAACTGTTCATTTCAGGTCCCTATTTTTAATTGAGTCTTTAAATCTGGAGAGTCTAATTTTTTGTACTTGTGTAATGTACGTATACAAAGCCCCCATAATGAATGTGATTGTGTACTGCAAACATGTTCTAATAAAAACAAATTTAAACAAAATCTTATTTATTGTTTCTTTTTTTTTTCCTTTCTTTCTTTCTTTCTTCTTCTTTTTTTTTTTTTTTTTCTGAACCAGGGATTGAACTCAGGCCCTTGTGCTTGCCAGGCAGGCACTTATTCTAATGAACTATCTCCCCAGTCCCGCTATTATTTCCTGCTTCTGAGCACTCATCATTCTGTCTTTTGAATTTAGCTAATGCTTTCTGCCTTACTAAACAGGTTTTGACAAAGATATTTGAAAATCTTTACATTCATTACTCAGAACTTCAACTCTATCAATGGTGACCAAGAAAGCAATCCCCAAACATTGACAAAATGATTATCCTTCCCCAGACCACCTCTTCTCCAAGCAAAGAGGTCAGAAAAAAGCCTAAGACACCCCTCACTTGCTACTATTCAACAGGCAAAACTAAATCTCAGCTACTGGCCTTCCATCCATGGGGACAAATCTCACTATGCTTCTTGTCTATTCTTGTATGTCAGGCACCAGAAGAAAATAGGTTAATCCTCTTCTCCCTACCCTAACTAGATTCTGCACACTTTTCTTTGATCGTTTGTCTTTCATGCCCAACTTCTAGTATACTTCCTGGAAATCATGATCTGTCATCAAAGTTAGTTCTTCAATCTATTCTTTGATAATTCTCTTTACCTTCTTGTTTGACAGAATGTAGCTCTCATCAGAGAATACTCAAATGGTAATGAGATCCTCTGCCTTCTAAATGTCAGTGGTGTTTTCCCTGTGTAATCTACCACTATCCAAGATATATAAAAGGATCCTACTACATCTTTATCAATGTCTTTATTCTCTCTCATTGTCAGGCTTTGAGTGTATTACTCATTTCTATTTCCTACTATCTTCCACTGTAGCTGTCACCTATTGAATTCAAAAAATACTTCTCCATATACATTTATAATTTCTATTTTAGGCCATTGTTATTCTATCCAATGTTGCTCCTGTATGAATTCTTCCCAATTTCAAACTTCAAGTCCTTTGAATGTTTCAATTTTTTGACATCTCTCTTCCAAAGATCTTGCGATCATCTATTTTCTTGAATCATACCTTAAGCTTTCATATTACCAAGAAAGCAATTTTTTTTTCTTTTCTTTTTTTTTTTTTTGTGGAACTGGGGATTGAAAAGAAAGCAATTTTATAACACTGATCTCATTCATCTCATCTTTGGTCTGGTTTCCATCTTTTAATTTACTTCTTATACTACATTTCAAAATTCTTTTCACCTTGTAGCCTAACACTTTTTACATTACTCCTTTTACTGCTTTTATACATTACTCCTTTAATATTCTCTGTTCCTTTTGTATTCACCTTAAATCCCATCGTCAATAATTACAACTGACTAACCATGTACTCTCCACATCTTTGCTTTTCTTCAGTTGTAGAACTTTCTAGGCCAGTAGTGGTGAGCCTATGGCATGCATGCCATAGCAGGCCATGTTTATCCAAAAGAAAGTTTTAAAATGTTCCCTATTACTGCCCAAGGTAAACCTACAATCCTAATGAAATCTAAGTCTCTGCTTCCTCTACCCCTACAAAGCTCACCAATGGTTAAAAAAAAATAACAATGTTAACTGATTCTTCTTTAACATTCATGATCATAAAATGTTAGGAGGCACTTACTTCATCTAAATAAACTTGAGGGCACTGAAGGCTGTATCTTTTTCTATACCCACTCACACTCCCCGCCTTCCAAATAGCTGGTTTTCCTCCTACTCTCTTCTCATGTCTCCAATAATCATTATGAGTCCATAATGTTGTTTTCTACTTCATGAGGTTGGGGAGTAGATACATAGAAATATTCTACATAGAACTTCTGAATTTTTAATCATAAACTTATTCACCTATCAATCTTCCTTGTCATGATAAAAATGAACTACTGTGTTTTTACTAAAGTCAGTACTCAACTGTGAGCTGAATCATCCCTCTCACCTACTCAAAGATATTGCTCTAACAATTCTCATTCTTCTCTCCTGAAATTTTCACTATAACATTCACAACTGCAACTACATGTTATAACTTCCCTCGGATTAAGCAAAATCACAAAAATCAGTCTTTTACATGTCTCAGGTTTCTTTTGCAACAAAATCTAAGGACTTATATCCTTACTACCTCTCTTCCCTCTGGTATACTTTCTCTTTAATCATCCAAACCATCATATCTCTTGGTTTTCTGCCTTCTTATTTGGCTGTTCTTTCTTCAGCTCATTTCAGGATCACTTCTTTTTTCCCTTAATGTTGGAGTGATCAAAGCTCAATTCCTGATCTGAGTCACCCCTTTCCTGAGATTCATTCCATTACTGAATTCATCTCATCTTGTGGTTTGTTTTATTTACATGTTTTTTGGTGCTGGGAGTCAAACTCAAGAGTGTCACATGGATTGGGTAAGCACTCTTCCCTAAACTACTCCCTTATCCTAATCTTACAGTTTTAAATGTTACCTACATAACTCAAATGACCATATCTGCATTTCTAAAACAGAAATCTCTTCAAAAAGCACACTTAATAACCAACTGTTTTTTGCCATCTCCACAGAGAAGGCTAACAGAAAAATTCAATACATTCATACTTACAGCCAACCTTACTACTTTTATCTCAAACCTATGTATATTCCATCAGGATATTTACTTGATCCAATTTAGAAATATACCTAGAACTCACCACTTTCAGCACCTCTATTTCAACACCTTGCTCTAGCTCATTTTTTTAAACTTCTATTTTTATTTTATGTATTTAGTACAGGGTCTAGAGGATCTTTTTACACAGATCAGACTTGTAGTGAAATTTCCTGTTTTTTAGCCTCCCAAGCACTGCGATTACAGGTGCATGCCACCAAGCCCAGTCTCAACTGCCATCTCAGTGTGCCCCAGGGGCGGGGCTGGCATGGTAGACTGGGGATCGAACCCCTAGCCCCTGCTTTTGCCTAAGCAGGCACTTTAATCCACTGACCTATCTGGCCAGCCCTTCTAGCTTATTTTTTAGTAAGTTAAGTGCAATTGCCCCCAATCTTTCAACTCATCACTATTTTTAACACAAAAGCCAAAATGACTATTTAAAAACTGAAATCTCAACTAGTAGTACTCCTAAATCTTTTTGTTAAACAGGACTTAGCACTCTCTAATACTATAAAATTTATCTACTTATACTGCTTACATTTATCTGTCTTCCCCACTGACAGAATACACACTCTATACAGGAATAGATTTTTGTCTGCTTATTCATTGATATATCCCAAGTGGGTAAAAGAGTAACTAGGCACATAGTAGATATTCAGCAAATATTGAATGACTGAATAAAATATTTATTGAATATCAATTATATACCCAAAGGAGTCTATTGAGACTACAGTGCAGAATAAAATAGAGTTTCTGTCATTAATATAATTACCAACTGAACTAGTAACACCCCATAAGGACATGAAGCACAGTTAATTCCCTTTAATTACCCATGCACTTTTAGCTCATACACTATAAATATTTATTTAGAAAAGGTAGTACAACAATAAGTGACAAACCATGTTGTATTTAAAGATACTGGGTGAAGTTAAGCTACAGTACATCTCTTAAAATATCGGTCTTTTATTAAAAATGATTAAATTTATTGAGACTGGCATACTATTGCATCATCTCTGAGAAAATAATTGTTTCTTAAAGTAATCTTTAAAAAGCTAAATTCATATTGATAAGCTGGGGTTTATAGAGTAAACTAGACTCTTTGCAATATTTTTCTTTAAACTAAATTGTGTCCTTAATATAGTCTCTTTATTTCAATAAGTGATTTAGTTTTATAATTTCTTAACTTATATTTTCATGAAAATTCATTCTTTTGTAATAATCTTGTACCCTACCACTGCTCTTGAGTTACCTATAGCAATAGAAAGAAGGAATATTTTCTTAAGAATTAGGGGATCATCACAGAGTGCATAAAACATATACCTGCATTTAGCTTGAGGTTCTTTAGAAGTAACTTAATAAATATATCAGCAGCCTTCAAAAAACTGGGTTCTGATAGAAATTTGAACCTTTAATTTGGACACAAGATTTTATTTTATTTTATATTTATTTATTTATTTATTTATTTATTTATTTATTTGCAGAACCGTGGATTGAACTCAGGCCCTTGCGCTTGCCAGGGAAGCACTTATTCCACTGAGCCATCTCCCCGGCCCCCTGGACACAATATTTTAAAACAATCAGTGTTAAAAATCTTCCAAAGTAGATTACTTTAACAAGAATTTATTTTCTTCAACATATACTAGAGGTTTTTAAGATAGGGGAAAAAAGTCAAATCATTGAATTTATATTTCAATAAAAAGTCACTGATTGCTCCACCTGATATATTTAGCTTTAATGAAATTGAGTAATGATTTGTTCTTCTTTATGCATGATATCTTTCCCAAAATATATGGATTTTGCAGTATTTTTCAAAGTATATCATGAAGCTAAACTCAATGCAAACTATCTCATGAAAGTATCTCTAAGTCAATGATAAAGTTCTACTATACCTCAACTATAAGTAAAACATTATTAATAAATTTGAAAATAACCTATTGTGATTACTAAATTCTTTATAATTTGACATAATATACTTTTATATGACCTATGAATGGAAAGAACTTTCCAACTATACTGGAAGAAAAGAAACATCCTTTATATAGCTGTCCTCTCTGACCTCTAATAGAATGACCAAATGGATACAGATATTAAAACATAGTGTCTTGTCCATATGTTTTAGGTTGAAATAATATGCCCAATGTTGTTATAAACAATAATTCTATGAATAGTTCTGAATTCCCAAGGAGCTATACTTCACTTTTGTGAACTATCACACACATAACAGGACACAAAATAAGACTATTAGATATTTATTTAAACTTTTATTATCTCAGTTTCTTTACAAATCTTAGTTCAATAGTTTTTGTTTTATTACACTGGTTTTAGTCCTTCAGGGGAAAACATAGTATTTTTTAAAAATAAGAATTCTCTATATGCCTTTCAAAGACATCTATTTTAGTGAACATCACAGAATTCATAAGAGATATGATACTGTGTTCATCTAGATTGTTTTGAAGGTGACTTACTATGTGCTATAATATAAGCAAAGAAACTGTTCATAATAAATATAAAAAACTTTGTTTATTTAGGTCAATTGTCACATACCTTGCCCAGTAATTCTCCCAGTGTGACATCTTCATGGTTGAGAATCCATTTCTTATCCTACAGAAAAAAATAAAAAAGAAATGAGGCACAGCATAGCTGTTTAGTCTAAGCAAAAGTACAATGAATATATTTCATTAAGATGCATCTGAGGCTTTGCTAAACAGACCTAAGGGACATTTCATTCAGACTATTCAACCAACAGAACACTAAGGAGCTATAACCTCAAGATGCTATAAAACAGATTTAAGCAATGTTATGCTTTATAGGGCATTAAAGTCTACATTATAGCAAACTTCTTTCAGAAATCTCAAACTCCAAAATCATAGTATCCCTATAACAGGAAAATAGTATGTATTTCATTTACCATAAAACTTTGTACTACTGTCCTTTCAAAAAAGTTCTGTCATAAGTGTATGAAGGAGATTCATTTTACAATGCAAAATTTCTAATTCTCTCTTGAACTTAGTGAATTAATTTTCTACACAAACCATACTACTAAGAGCAAATTCTTCCACATATGCATTGGCCATGATTTACAGTGTTCAATGAGAGTATATGTGGTCCCAAATCTTTCCCAAGTAATTTCCTGTGGCATAATAAAACAATAAAATCAATTACAACACTGCTAAAATGCACTAGACTAGTGATATAAATATGCCATTATAAAAGAGCATCCTATTATCTACTGTGAAGAAATGATTACTACTTAGGGAATATGTTAAGAGAATATGTCAGCATGCAAACAAATGCTCAAGGAACTACACAGTTCCATAATGTTGAAAAGGTACAAGCATTATTTTGAAGGACAAAGGAAAGAGAAATGAAGCAAGGAAAAAGGAGAGAAAGGAGTAAAAACAAAGGAGAGAAGATACTTAGGAAAGAAGGAAGAGGAGAAGCAAGAATGAAATATGTTATTCATGATTTAGATTATCTTGTAGTTATAGTATAGTTTTCTCCACTGCAAACATAGACTGAAATATAATTGTATCATAGTAAGAAATGTAACAAGTAAACATCTTAAAAATCGGTAAGTATGGTTTAAAATATACTAGACAGTCACTGATCTATTTTATTTTCTGAACTATGAAGTGGCAAACATTCAACTATCATCCTGAAAGATCAATAAAAGGACATTGGGTTTTACAATGCAATAGCATAATCTTTTATTCTAAATATTACCACTATAAAGATTTTAAAAGAAAGCATATGAGAATATCTTCACAACTAAATAAGCACAGATTTCTTAGATACAAAGAAGTCTAACTACAAAAGAGAAATAAAAATTGAATTCAATAAAACTACAGACATATGTTCTTCCAAGGCCATCATTTAAAAAGTAAAAAGGTAAGGGCCAGTGAGATAGCTCAGCAGAGTAAGCATCTGCTTAGACAAGCACAAGGACTGGGGTTTGATCCCTCGTACCACATGGCGCGCTGGCCTGGCTCCAGAGCACTCTGAGCTGGCCACCAAGACTGGGCGTGGTGGCACACGCCTATAATCCCAGCACTGGGAAGGCTGAAAACAGGAAGATCATTATGAGTCCAAGCTGCATAGTGAGACCTTGTACCAAATACATTTTAAAAAATCAACCAATCAATCAATCAAAAGTAAAAAGGTAAACTATAGGTGGGCAAAGCATTTTTGCAATATTTGTATGTAGAACATGTAGAAAATTCGTATCTTAATAACAACTTGATTTTAACAGATTGTGTTATAAACATAACAAAAGACACATAGTCAATAAACATATCAAAGGTGCTTACTATTGTCAGTAATTAGCAAAGAGCAAATATGAAACACAATGACATAGTACTGCATAACCATCAGAATACTAAAATTGTTAGTGTGTGTGTGTGTGTGTGTGTGTGTGTGTGTGTTGCTGTGGATTGAAACCAGGGCCTTGTACCTGTAAGCCAAGTGCTGTACCACTGAGGTACACTCCTAGCTCAGAATGCTAAAATTAAAAAGATTATTAACACCATGAGATTGTGACAATGTTGAGCAAGTAGAGTCCTTACATGTTAAAAAGTAAAAAGGTAAGGGCCAGTGAGATAGCTCAGCAGACTAAGCATCTGCTTAGACAAGCACAGGGACTGGGGTTTGATCCCTTCCACCACATGGTGCGCTGGCCAACAAACCCAACAAACACTTAGGCTCATCACAAAATTGTCAAACAGATCTATTCAAAGTAGTCAACTAAACCAAACCTAACGTCTATCATAAGACAATGAGCAAATTCTAAAATTTTCAGAAAAGTAAATAATATGAGGCAATAAAAAGGAACGTACAACAGAGAAACTTTGTGTTTTGCAAAACATTTTCATGAACTAATAAAGCCAGGCTATTCTGCATATCCAGAGTATACAGAAAATAACTGTATATGTGAAGTTCTAGGAGAGTTACTCTATAATTCTAAAAAGCAAACCAATACTTGCCTGAATCATCGTTGTGGAGGACTATATTACAAAGGGAAAAGGAAGGAACTTTCAGAGTTGTTCAAATGTTTAATTCTAGCCTCTTATCCTTTATGCTCCCTGCTTCTTTTTCTCCATTTCTTTGTTTGCTAGGAATTGAATGCAGAGCCTAGAACAAGCTAATAGTATTATACTGGATTTATACCTCCAGTCCTCAATTTTATATTTTATTAAACTATACATTTAAAGCCTGTACAAGTTCATTGTATATGAATTACTTATTCATAAAATTATTTTTTAAATAGAACTTTCATTAGAATGCCACTTTGTTACTGATTCCACTGCCCCCTCCACATCTTGTCAAATGTTATTCATCAAAAACATGATCTGACAAGGGGAGAGTTGTAATTTTGATTTTTTGAGAGATTTTATACTTTATACATGGGAAATAGGAAGCTTAGTCCAAGATTTACACTGTAAACCACTAAAAAAGCAAGGTGAAATATAAAAACTCACACTAACAATGGGATCAAACATCCATGTAGACACAGGATAGGAACTTAAACAGTGAAGAACTGGAAAATTCAATTTAAGGAAAAAGGAAACAAGTCAAAAATTTTGGGGACCACTTTAGACTTTTAATTATGATTCCCCCAAAATATCACACATCATACACAGGTAATTTGGAAAGGAAAGAAACTAGACCTACCTTCTAATCATCCCTATAATATATTTGATTAAATTACAGACTGGCAGACTAACACTCACTGTCCATTATGGTTAAAATGGTTTTGAATTATTAAATTTATTACATGATTAAAAAAATTAAAACAATTTGTAACATATATGAAATTCAAATTTCAGTGTCCATGGGTAACAGATCACTAGTACTACAACTCAACAGAAATCATACAACCTGAGTTACACAGAAGTAAGAGTTGGGGGAAAAATGTAACAATTTTCATAGATGTGTGAGTCAATACCACAAGCTGTAACATGCACCACAAAGTGTGAGACAAAAAATAAGTACAATGAAAGAAAAATATTTGAAAAAATACAGTTCAGAATTTCTCTAATTTGGATAAAGACTAATACAAAAAAAAAATGTAGCTATTCTAGGAAGAAAAAACTCATAGATATCAATAACTAGATAGAACATATTCACATAAAAACACAGGGAGCAACAAGCCAGAATAGAGGAAGAATCACAATTACTCACAGCTAATTGGAAGAAGAGGATGGACATACATCCTGATTTAAAAAATAAAATCAATTTGAAAGAAGAGACATGTAGATCAAATAAAGCATATGCATAGACGTTTAAAAGAGGCAAAGCAGTCTGACAGGGCAGCACACAGGGCCTCAGCATGCACCCAACACACAAAGTACCATTTTGAGAAGTTCTCAGGTAGCTGGCAGGATCGAAGTAGAGTGGAGAGTCAAGTCACACAGAGTAGATTTGGGGTATAGAGCCCCTTGCCTCACTGTCTCCTCCAGACACAGGAGAGGCCAGTCTGGTAGCATTTTTCCCAGGCACACAACTGGGTTAGTGACAGTTACCCCTCCCCCAAGCCATCCTTTCATTCACTAACACTCTAACATCCTAAACATAACTCTAACTACAGGCCTGTTTCTTTAATGAACATAGATGGAAATATCCTTAGTACTTCCAAACAGACTGCAGCACATCATCAAAATTTTATTCCACGACCAAGGATTCACTCCAGGAATGCAGGGATAGTACAACATATGTAAATCAATAAGTGCAATATACAAAATCAACAGAGCCAATGACAAAATAAATATGATCATCTCAACAGACACAAATAAAGCATTTGACAAAGTCCAACACCCATTCATTATAAAAAGAAAAAGAAAAAAACCCTCCAGAGAATTGGAATAGGAGGTCTGTATCTAATGTGATAAAAACCATTTATGAAAAAAAAAAGAACCTTGTCAATGAACCAATTGCCAACAACATTAAATGGTCAAAACAGAAAGGCTGCACTCTAAAATCAGGAAAACACAAGGAGGCCCACTATCACCACTTTGGTTCATTATAGTTCTGGAAACATTAGTCACAGCAATTAGACAAGAGTAACAAATGAAAAGAATAAGGACAGAAGGGCCGGGGAGATGGCTCAATGGAATAAGCACTTCCCTGGCAAGTGCAAGGGCCTGAGTTCAATCCCCGGTTACGAAAAAAAAAAAAAAAAAGAATAAGGACAGAAAAGGAAAAAGTTAAATTATCACTATTTGTAGATAACATGATACTCTACATACAAGACCCCAAATACTGCTACAATCAATGACAAATTAGATAGTGTAATAGTATAAAAAGTCAACACTCAAAAATCAATAGATGTCCTATACCATGATTACAAAGTCACTGAGAGAGAAATCAGGAAAATAACATTTTTCACAATAGCATCTAGAAAAATAAAATACTCAGGAAGCAATTAAAATACCTATACACTGAAAACAATAGTACTCTGAAAAAGGAGATTACAGGAAATCACAAGATAGAAAGACATGCCTTGTTCTTGGGTAAGAGGAAGAAAAACAGTGAAAATGGCCATACTATCAAAATTATAATACAGATTTAATGCAATCTTAATCATAAAAGTACCATCATTTTACCTT